TGCTCATATATTGGTGCTGCCTCTGAAATAGGCAAATGCTAAATGGAAAGATATATGAATAAAAATTAGGTGTACCTCCAAATAAATTATCCCAAAAAAGAAAGACTGAAATAGGGCAGAGTTGCAGTGTCATACTAGTGCTTCATTGGCTAGACTTTCGGTGGCTTCAACATTGTATTTATCATCCACGAGTTTGCGATCTGAAAAGTTGTATAACAAAAAAAATTTTAAATGAAAAAACAAAACAGAAGGAAAATCTATGAATATATATAGGTTCAGGATTGGGGGGACACACAAAAGGCCACAAATTTATACACACATTTTCAACCCTTAGATTAAAGCAGTTTAATGGCTAAGATTGCATTGGAAAAGAAATCAATAACCTCTCAACCATATGATTAATATGCCTTGGAAATAACTAGAGCCTTCAAGATTCTATGACAACAACGAGAGCATTCAAAGCCTTAAACTTCTTATCTCACTACATTCGATAAAACTGAACTGCCTGCATAGCAAAAACCAATATCAAAACTCACCTTGATCTCCAACTCGTCTGAACTCGGCTTCCATATGCCACTGTAATTGTAGGCCTGCATTACAAACCCAATATTTTACAGGATCGCAGTGTTCAAAGTTCAAACATCCATTTCATGTGATTTAATTATTAAAGGAATTTAAATTTTCAACGAAACAAGTTGTAATATCCCTTCTGTACGAATATCCAACAATTATCCATCTACTTTCTTATTAAATATTACCAGCCTACTGTAGATTGACAAACTCCAAACCAAATTAATTAAGGATTAAAAAAATACGATACCAAAAGGGCAATCCCTAAAAGAAACAAACCAATTATCACCTAATAAGGTTAACAAAGAAGGAGAACGAAAACTAAATTACACTTACCTCTTTAATTGACCAAATGCTGATATCAATAACTACTCAAGCGTAAGGGGCAAGGCAATTGGCTTCACAATTTATCGGTGAATAACTGGAGAAAAGAAGGAAGAAGAAGAAAATCGATCAACCGAAGAAGCATTCCATAACTAGTAGGAAAGGGAATGGAAAAACAAAAACTATTTCAGTACCCTTCAGTAGAATTAAAAAGAGGGCACGAAGAAGACGGGGGAGGGGATGGCACTGTGCTGGTAAACGTTTCTGTGTTCAAACCCAAACAATTTTTTTAGGGAGAATTTGAGTTACACCATAAGGTTTGGTGTGGGTCGGGGAGGGGATGGGGATTTGGCTCGAGAAGGGAGAAAAGAGACAGAAAGGGATGTGATGGCTGTTGGGGTGGGGGAGTGGTGAGTGATGACTGTAGGGATGGAGGTGGGGGAGGTGATGACGGTCCGGAACGGGGAGGGGAGGTGAGAGTCTGATTTTCATCTTGCTTAATATGATTTATTTAATTTTTTTAATATATATTATTTCTATTCAATAATATAAGAAAATTATGTACATAATACCTGAATTGTCTTATGTAAATCCCCATAAATAAACGACCCCCATAAATAAACGGTCCGGTCCGGTCGGCTATACTATTTATAAATAAACGACCCCGTAAAGCCCTGAGGCTATACAATTTTTTTAATAAAAAATATAGTATAGCCAAACGGCTATACTATTTTTTAATTAAACATTAGCGTATGGCCGGGCGGCTATACTCTTTATAAAAAATTAAAAACAACACCGCCTGGCGCTGAGCGCCCATTTCGCCACGTGTCAAACATCGTATAGCAGCACGGCTATACTCTTTTTCAAAAAAGTAGTATCGCCGATGCTATACTATTTTTATTATTAAAAAATGGCAGTATAGCCGCGCGGCTATACTATAAAAGGAACGGCCTGGATCTGCCCCCATTTCGCCACGTGTCAAACAGTATAGCTGACCGGCTATACTATTGGGAGTATAGCCGCGCGGCTATACTATAAAAGGAACTGCTGGAGCCTGCGCCCATTTCACCACTTGTCAAACAGTCTAGCCGACCGGCTATACTATTTTATTTTTAAAAATCAAAGTATAGCCGCGCGGCTATACAAAGGTACCGTCTGGTGCCTAGCGCCCATTTGGCCACGTGTCAAAAATAATATAGATAGGCTATACAATTTTTTTTTACTATAGCCGTACGGCGATACTATTTATGATAAAAAAGGACCACACGCATGGCGTGGCACCTAGTGGCCACTTCGCAACGTGTCAAAAATAGTAGAGTCGCGCGACTATACGGTTTTATTATATTATATTTAATCAGAGTTGTTCTGGGAAAATACTTTCTTTCTTTCAACCAAAATGTGAGCTTGCTACTAGTTGTAGGAGTTCGAAATAGAAAATCTGTTTCAAGAATTTATTGGAAAGTCTAATTAAGTCTTGGCTTTACGCAAATTTTTAGGCCAGCATAATTGGTTTCCTACTTTTGATCATAGAATTTGTGTCTTATGTAGAGGTAGGCTGCTTTCCAAGTCCTTGTGTTTGTAGGTGTATGCATACCTATTACTTGTTTACTAACTCCTGATATTGTGTATACTGTTAACGTTTCAGAGTTGTGAAGAAGCAAACAATTCATTAAATTGTTGGTTTACTGGGAAGCAAACAATTCATTGAAGGTGCCAGGAAATTGTCTGTGTGCTGGCGGGTCGCGTTATAATTTTGGATTATTACAATGGAACCCCAAAAAGAAGTATAGCCGGTCGGCTATACTATATATATTAACAAAAGGACCTGGTACAGCCGCGCGGCTATACGATTTAAAATAAAAACCCAGTATCGCCGAACGGCTATACTGTCTTTATTATTTAAAAAAACCGGGTCTAGCCGAACGGCTATACGATTTATAAAAAAATTAAAATAAGAGGACGGCCTGGTGCCATGTCTCCATGTGTCAAAAATAGTATACTAAAACAATTCCCGTATAGTCGCGCGGCTATACTATTTATAAAAAAATAAAAACCACCTGGGACCTAGCGCCCATATCGCCACGTGCCAAACAAGTATAGCCGAACGGCTATACCCCTTTATTTTTTCAAGGTCATATAGCCGACCGGCCCTACTGTTTTTTTTTAAACCCCAAAGTACAGCCGACCGGCTATACGTTTAAAATAAAAATGTGGTATAGCCGTTCAGCGATACTATTTTTATTATTAAAACAATCCACGAATAGCCGACCGGCTATACTACTGATAAAAAAATCATGGCGCCTAGCGCCCATTTTGCCACGTGGCAAAAACCGTATAGCCGCACAGCCATACCTTTTTATTAGCAACCCGGAAATATTTTTTATGTTTTTAAAACCCCCAAGTATAGCCACCCAGCTATACGATTTATGATTTAAAAAAAATACCACCCGCTTGTTGTGGCGCTGTGTCAAAAACCATATAGCCTCGCGGCTATACTGTTGTATTATATTGTATTTAATAAGAGTATGGCCGTACTGTTGTATTATATTGTATTTAATAAGAGTATAGCCGGCCGGCTATACTATTTATTTTTTAAAAAAATAATTATCTTTTTATTTGCATTAGTTTATACTTTACCGTTATTAATTTGCTAATTTCAACATCACCAAAGTATATATTGAAGAGAGATACATTTTACAGTAAATCAATTTGAGAGTTCAATTTGTTCTTTTGTTTTTATGGGAATGTTTGCCTTTGGTCTAAAAAAAGTCTCGAGTATATCCACACAACTATACTCTTTAAATATATTATATTATACTATTTCAACATAGCCAAAGTAGATAGTAAAGAGTGAGAAATTTCACACTAAATTAATTTGAGAGTTCAATTTGTTCTTCTTTTTGTGTGGGAATGTTTGTCTTCTCGTTCTCTCGAGTATTACTAAATTTTGTTACTGCACACATTATTTGTTATAAAGAATTGCATATTGAGTCGTAGTGTTCTTGGTAATTACTTCACATTCAAACAACACTTTACATTAAGAATACTATCACCTCGCTTCCTACTACACCCATAAATTTTTGTTTGAAATTGTTGTTTTGGTTAGCAAAGAGATTGCAAAATCACCATCTTTTGTACTCAATCGTAAAAAAAATAAGACTTTGAATTATTTACGATTTTGCTACTATGCTTCTTTTGATCGTAACTTCTTCGTTACAACTTCGATTTGAGCCCACTACGTTTCTACGGACTCATCTCGACACAATCTACATCATGGTGCCATTCAATTCTCCAAAATCTTTCCCGAACAAAAGTCAACTTTAAGCCCAATAAAATATTCTCGGGGTAACATTATCTTTTACTTGAATATTTTAATAATTAAATAATAATTTAGGATCGGGTTATTACACTTGTCCTCTCCCCCATCCCTATATGAAATTTCTAGGAATCCACATCCCTGGACTCCCCGTTGAGGGATGTTATCCTAAACCTGACATTAACCCTTTGTTTTAAAAAAAAAATAAACATTACAAATTACAAAATCATTCATATTATAACACTTAAATTTCACCTTAAACTATCATTCAATTGAACTATAAAATTTCACTAAACTACTCAATTTAATTTGACAAAACTAATAAAATCATAAAATAATAAAATTAAAAAAAGTCCAAAGCCTCGCTATTACATAACTTTTTAATTGTTACATTGTATTATATTATATATTTATTAATTAAAACAAATACATCACTTGTCGGGCCGGCTTCGAGGATGGGGATAACAAAACCATCCCCGATTGAATATTTTTAAAAATCTGGGATCTCCACCCGCCCTTGTCTTCCCCCAAAATCTCCACCCATTAGGACAGGAGACCGGACCAGACAAGGAATTTTGCCAATTCTATTCCACACTTGGCGTTGCACTAGGTTATTAGGCCTTTTTCGGTGTTTTGGGCCAACACGTGCCCTCATCATACATATGTGAAGGTGAGACAAGAATGTGCAGGAGTTGTTTATCACATAGACCTCCCATTCCTAAAAATTATTAAGATGTTATGTCATTTATTCGTTATAAGAGCATCTACAACAAACTTTCTTAAATCGTGTTTAAGTGTGAGTTGCAGTAGAAAAGTGATCCAGCCAGGGGAGAAGTTTCTGGTGTACTAAGTCAGGCCTGTCATCGTGGGGACAATGCCCAACCCCTTGTAAAACAAAGAGGGTGATGTAGGGTAGTTGAGACGGTAGGGAGGTGAAGTATTTGCCTATAGGTCCATCAAGCGGAGTGAAGGGGTCTTCATCCCCCCATAAAACTAGAAGTGGTAGGGAGGAGGAGATTATTGTTGGCATCAACTGCACCGGGCTTGGTCCTGGGGGGCCAGTCACGATAGAAACAAAAGCATCAAGCGCCCCGGGGTCGCAGGTGGGTTCCATGATTATCTGCAAGGAAAATGGGAGAAAGAAAGAGGTCGGGACATGTACGTAATTTAATTATTGATGAAACCGAAATACTAAACTGAGGAGAGGATACTCTACCTCTACTAATTCTTCATCAACAGATTCCTTATTCCCGTAGACAGACAATAAGATATTCCTTATATTATCTCTGCATCAAGCAGGTCATATATATATATACATGGTCAGACTCAGACTAGATCGATATAAATATATATACTCACGAGTCACGACGTGCTAGCTAAGCAGCTAGCTAGCTTTATTAATTATAACTACTACGTATGTACGTATGTACATATGATATATGTACATACGTATAGGCTATATATAGCTGCTGAATGAATCATCATATCATATGTATAGTTGAATAGCTCACCTCTGTTTGACACGCTCAAAAATGGCGGAAGCAATTCCTCGTTGCTTCAACAGAAAATCAATCAACCAAAGCAAAGGTAAGAAAAGCTTGATCCTCCAGTCATCAGTAATTGCTTTATTGTTCATACCACCCGCACAATTTAAAAGCACCAACCCTCGAACGAGTGCTTTATTATTAGATTCTGCCTCAGCACCTGAGGCTGAGGCTGAGGCAGCAGCAATGACACAAGCAAGGCTCCCAACAGAGTTCCCTATCAACACAGTCGGCTCTCGAACAATTTCATCCAAAAAATCCAAGATTAACTGTTTACAGTAATTAATGACACTTGAGTCAGAAACTTGTATTTAAGTTTACAATAATATTATATATTCTCTTAATTTAAATAAGAATATATTGGATTTTAATTTTATAATGAAACAAATATGATTCGGAGACTCGGAGAGCATTTACCTCAGCCCACTTTTCCATGGTATATGAAAAGCCTACTGGCTTCTCTGAGCCACCAAACCCAATGAGGTCAATAGCATAAACGGTATAAATCTGGCCCAACGTCCTAATATTTCTGAGCAAGTAAAGTAATCAATCACATTAACTTTTGGGGTAAATAGTAAAAACAGATGAAATTAATAACTTGACTTGATTGTTACTGTCTTTAACTTTGGCTTTGGGGGATAATGTGTGGCTACTGGCTAGCTAGCTAAAATGGATATAGATATGGATAAGCATTAAGGCATGCATGCGTTAATTGGACAAAAGACAAACCTGCGCCAATGGGGAATGGAGGCACCGAAACCATGAACAAGAAGTATAGGGGGACGATTTGGATTTGACGAGTGTGGATCAGAAGAAGAGTGAGAAACAAAGTAATTGATGGCGTATCTACCCTTCCAATTCCACTTTTTGCACTTGTCCTTAATCTCTCTCAATTCCACTTCCAACATATCGCCAGCAGCAGCACCTGTAGATGTAGTTGCCTTCGCCGCACAGCAAGTTGCTGGGATGACACTATTCTTGAAGAAAGGAAGAATAGTTCGATTATTAAGACGCTTTCCTCCACCATATCCAAGCAAGCTCCTTATCCCTACCCCTTTGTGCTTGCTTGGCCGCGATTGCTCCTCCAAGAATTGCAAATGGACCGGCGGCAGCCCAAGCGAAAGTGGATGGGCAGCCCTTCCCGTCAGCTCCATTGTTTTTGTTTCTCTCCCCCCCTTTCTTTCTTGTTGGTTATTAAATTTATACAAATTTAGTTATATACCCAATCTTAGACATGGTCTTATAAACTTACACCTTAGTTTCAATTTGTCACCTGAAAATTTTTTTTAAGTGAAATGTCACCTAAATTTTTCAAAATCCATGATTTGTCACCCCAGTTTAACATAATCCAATTTTCCATATATTTTCAAGGGTATTTCAGTCTTTTCATTTTCAAGAATATTTTTAAAATGGAAAAAATTACTATTAAAAAAAATAAGCTTAAATGTAAAAATGGTTGGGGGTTAAATGTGAAAAGATATATAATTTTTGTAATTTCCAAAGGTCTTTTCATAATTTTTTTTATAATGATTTTTCCATTTTTAAAATACTCTTGAAAAGAAAAAGACTAAAATACCCTTGAAAATAGTTGAAAAATTAGATGAAGTTAAACTCAGGTGACAAATCGGGTGACATTTCACTTAATTTTTTTTTCAGGTGACAAATTGAAACAAAGGTATAAGTTCAGGTGGCATTTCAATGAATATCCCCATTTAAAAACTATAAACACACCCAAAAAAAAACCCAAAAATCGCAGCTGTCAATTTTTTTTTAAATTAAATAGCCATTTTTTAGTTTATTTGTGTGTGTAAAATACCTATATTGCCCTTGTACTACGGATTTGAGAGAGAAAAATCAAATCTGCCCAGATCTGCCAAAAAAACCAAATCTGCCAAAAAACCAAATCATATTTATTTTCTCCTTTCTTGCTGGTGTTTTATCGATGTTGGAGCAAGAAGAGTTTCCATTGAAGCTCAATCTCAGGTCCAGCTATATTCTTCATCTCTCATCTACAATTTTCAATATTTCACCTTCGATTTCTTATTCTAAAATTGTGCTTATATTGATTTTTTTTTCTAGATTGTTTGGAACCTTGAACGAACCTTGATCAAATGCTCTTAGCTTTACTCCTCTTTCACCACGTCATTGTTGTCATCATCATCATCTTTATTGTCGTCGTCGTCGTCTGGTTTGGACTTGAGATTTTGATCTTTTGCTTCAATTATGTGTTTCTCTTCAGATTTTAGTTGATTTTCGAAATGTATTTTAAGCTTTGATGATTGATTTATCCATTGTTACTATTTCAGTTATGGATCTCATTTTTGTTTAACAATATACTTCTATGACAGAGTATTAACAATATCCTTTTATGACATAATAGTATTAACAATATGGGCTCGGCTTATTTTGAGTTGGTCTAGTTTGTTCTTTCTTCTTTTCTTTGGTGGACATGTATTAGAAATAGCAACAAGACAAACATTAATCAACATGACAGTAAACTAACAGTGTTATTACCTTAAACTGGAACATTACAAGGGTAGATATGCATTAGTAATAGGATATCATAGGAAATTAGCAATGTTATTACCCTAGACTGGAACATTACATGGGTAGACATGCATTAGAAATAGGATGTCATAGGAAACTAGTAGTGTTATTACCTTAGAAATAGGATGTCATAGAAAACTAGTAGTGTTATTACCCTAGATTGGAACATTACACGGGATAGACATGCATTAGAAATAGGATGTCATATGAAACTAGCAGTGTTATTACCCTAAACTGGAACATTACAGTCATTAATTAACATGACAGTAAACTAGCAGTGTTATTACCCGAGATTGGAACATTATAGTCATTAATCAATATGACAGTAAACTATAAATGTTATTACCCTGTACTAGAACATTACAAAATAGCAATGTTATTACCCTATACTGGAACATTACATGGGTAGACATGCATTAGAAATAAGATGTCATAGAAAACTAACAGTGTTATTACCTTAAACTGGAACATTATAAGGGTAAATATGAATTAGAAATAGGATATCATGGGAAACTAGTAGTGTTATTACCCTAGACTGGAACATTACATGGGTAGACATGCATTAGAAATAAGATGTCATTGGAAACTAGCAGTATTATTACCCTAAACTGAAACATTACAGCCATTAATCAACATGACAGTAAACTAGCAGTGTTATTACCATAGACTGGAATATTACAGTCATTAATCAACATGACAATAAAGGTGTGAAACATTACAATCATTAATCAATATGACACGTTAATAAAGCTATGGTTTTCAAGACATTTTGTTTGTAATGAATTGTTTGGGTTTTTTTATAAAATTGGGCTGAGCTTGTTTTGGGTGTTATTCAAGTTTTTTTTTGTTGGGCTTCTTTTAAGTTGATTAATGGCAGTCATGTAATTTATAGGAACTTTAACACCAATTTCTTATGTAGTAAATGAATTTTGGGTGTGTTTCTAAAGTGCATTCAATGTGCGGTTTTTTTTTATAATTTCAGTCCCTATTTTGGGTATATTAGTGAAGCTCCCTTAAATTTATTTATGTATGGTCTTGCAAAGAAGTAACGTATTTATTTACACCGACATTCGATAAGTTTATGATTTTTGTTTTTTGGTAGAGACTAGAGGATGAGGGTTGAAGCCCAACTTATGAAAACGTATCTAGGGCTAGTTTGATATTGTTGTCATGTTTTAAAAAAGTTGATTCTGTTGTGCTTTGAAAATAATTAGCTATAAAGTAAAGCAGCTCCATGTTTAGTAAACAATATTTTTAAAGTGAAGTTAGTATAAAAAGCAGTGTCAAAATTGTTTGGTAAATTTTAATATAAAATTGTTGTAAATGTAAATAATGACTCAAATATATATGATGTTGAAAGTGTTATGCGCTAATTATGTGGTTATAGTGGTAGCGGTAGTGGTGAAGGTGGTGGTGAAAGAGATGGAGGTGAAGGTGGTAGTGAAAGAGGTGGTGATGGAGGTAGAGGAGGAGGTGGCTATTGTGGTGGTGGCAGCGGCAATGGTGGTGGAGGTGGTGGTTGTGGTAGTGGTGGTGGTTGAGATGGCGGTTGTGGAGGTGGAGGAGGTGGTGGGCGCAGTGGTGGAGTGGTGGTGGTGGAGGAGGAGGTGGTGGTTGTGGCGGAGAAGGATGTGGTGGTGGTGGTAGTGGTAGTGGTGGTGGTGGTAGAGGTGGTGAAGTTGGTGGTGGAGGTGCTGGAGTTGGATGTGACGTCGTTTTTAAAAATAAATTATGATAATTTGGGAATTAAATCTTATTAAAGGCTCATCTATGCTTTTTTTGAAAGCAACTTTGAAAAACAATTCAAAGTTTACTTTCAAAAATAGCTGTCAAAAGGCCACTATTTTTAAAATAATTGAGATATTTTATTTTTACCAAATACCTTAAACTACTTAATTTTAAAATGAAGCAGATTTTTTGGTGAAAAAAATAATCCTAAACGTGACCTTAATGACCTCATACTACTAACGTTGAGAAAAGGGAAGAAGAACAAATGATTTGATATTTATAAATAAATAAATAAATAAAATAAAAAAGCAGACTTGAGGAGGCAGAGTGTATGAGGCTTTTTGGGAAGCAAGGATTGTGTAAAGTAGGAGGGTACGTGTCAACAAATTAGTTAGGGGCAAAAAGTGTACCGTATAGAACTCAATCCCATCACTGGATTTTTGGTTTATGTTCGTGTTCAGGTTCTTGTTTTAAGTAGGAGGGTATGCGTCAACAAATTAGTTAGGAGCAAAAAGTCCTCAATCCCATCACTGGAATTTTGGTTCATGTTTGTGTTGGCTTAATGCATTTTTTATTATAGAGAATTAGAAACAATTATAATCGGATATTATAAGGGTAGGCATGTCCAAACAAATTAAAATAAAACAAAAACGAACAATTCAAGTCAACGGTAGACCATGCTTAAATTTAATGCATATTATGATGGAGATGGACCTCAATCCTCTACCATTTTATTTCCCCGATATGCAAGGCTCCAAAGAATCTCATAATTAGTGGTAATTGATCCAAATTTCATATGACAAGAACCCGCAAAACCAAAAGCTTTGACATGTTGCATTGCAGGCCTTTTAAACTTTACAGTAATTAATTTTTTACTCCAAGGAAAAAAAAAATCTTATACCCACAACAGTAATTTTAATTTGTACTTTTCAAAAGGAGGAGAGCAATAAAGAAAAGGTTAGAAAAAGAAAAAGACAGAAAACAAAGAAGAAGCCGATTGGGAATTTGAAGGCAGGGCTGTTCGTGACTTCGTCTTGACGTGGGATTGGTTTGAAGGTTAAAAAAAATGAAGGGAAATGCCGCCGCCGATGCGAATAAAATCATAACAAAATAGTGGTTGTGGTTGTTTTTATTGTATGGAAAGAGAATCTCCAAAACCGGCAAACAGTGAGGAGTCTTGAAGATTAAGGATAAAGGGTTGTCCGGTCCACATACATACAGATAGAGTTTGATTCACTCACACAAAATCCAACCAATCTTGAGTCTCTTGACCCAACAAAACAAACTGTCATTTCCTTCAAATCTCTCTCTCCTCCTTCCCTTAGACATCTGAAATCTGAAAAGAAAGGGAGAGAGTGATGGCAGCTGCGGGCATGGCAGGGGCAGGGGTTGTTGGAGTTGGAGGAGGTGACGTTTGGAGGGCACATACGGCCATGGCTGTGGTTCAGCTCTTCAACGGAGGGTATCATGTAATTACCAAAGTGGCCCTCAATGTTGGCATCAACCAGCTTGTATTCTGCGTATTCCGGGACCTCCTTGCTCTTGCCATCCTTGCTCCCATCGCCTATGTCCGTGAAAAGTATGCTCTCTTTTATCTGTTATATTTATTTTGTTAGACCTTATGCCACCCATCAATTTCGATTCCATTTGCAACTAATGTAATCCAAATTTCATTTGTGTCATCTCTCTCTCTCTCTCTCTCTCTCTCTCTCTCTCTCAACATTCATACTTTGTGAACTTGGGTTTAATCCAGCAACAACTCTGTATTGTATGCTCAGACGCAGACCATGATTTCTGACTTATTTATCTTGATATTGCGACTTTTGTTCCTGCTGTTTAAGGGCATGTTTGTGTATCGAATGTTCGCATTGTTTCTTGTATAGACTCTTAATCTATCATCTTGAAAATAATGCAATCAAGTTGAGAACCATTTTCATCATTCATGGTCACTTCCTTGGAGTTTTATTACCAGATCATCACAATATTTCTGAGCCATTGTCTCATGGCCTGGTGAAAGTCTCAGGTGTCAAGTGCAACTGCACGGGTTGGATTCTTGAGAATGGATACAGTATGCAAGAACCGTGGAACTTTAGGACCAGACCCACACTTCCTTCCAAAGATCCTACTTTGGTGGGTCCAACCCATGAATGGTGGCCTTTTATTTGCTAGAATGAATGTACTTTATATACTAGCTCCATAGATGATGATTCATTTGTATTTGAAGTCATACCGTTGAATAACATTGAGCAATTAAACTTTTGAGGGGTATATCCAAATGGGTCCTGAATTTGAACATGGGCATATCAGCTTCTTCATCCTTGTGAACATGATTGTGAACATGATAATGCAGTTTGTTTTCATGTAGGATTGTAAATGCACAAAACACAGTAGTATGTAACATTTCTCATCTCCTGTGTGCAGACGGATTCGACAACCAATGAATAGACGCCTGTTCATGTCCTTCTTCTTTCTTGGACTAAGTGGGTAAGACTAGAGGCTTCAGTGCTACCTTTATAATCATATTGTGATTACTTATATTACTAATCTACTGGGCTGATTGATGCAGCATCCCTTTGACATTTGATTCTTGTTGCTTTTCTTATATTAAATAGGATCTTTGGCAACCAGCTTTTGTTTCTTATTGGTCTTGGCTACACAAATCCAACTTATGCTGCTGCGATACAGCCTGCTATCCCAGTGTTTACGTTTATCCTGGCTGTTCTAATGGGGTCAGTTTATATTTCTCTACATGTAGAGATGCACACTTTTGCATGTTTAGATATTACTTGTTCAATATCATATGTGAAATTGTTCATGCAGTACAGAAAGAGTGAATTTGCTTAGAACTGAAGGGCAGGCAAAGGTTGGTGGTACACTTGTATGTGTTTTTGGAGCCATATTAATGGTCTTATTCCGGGGACCTGTTTTGATTGGATATATAGAGCCAGACTTTGCAGCACAGAGCGAAATAAGTGCCAGAGGTCAACCGGAGCCAGCTGGATGGTTAATGTCTAGTTTTCTAGAGTTTGGGCTAGATCATTTTCATCTTGGAGTTTTATGCTTATTAGGGAACTGTATGTGCATGGCCGCTTTTTTAGCCATTCAGGTGCATGACTTTATACTTTAACTTGATTTGTTGAATCTATACCTATCTCATTTACTTTTTAGGTGTGTGATTTATAAAAATAAAAAAATCTCCTGACTGATCAATTATGTTGAATTACCTAGTTCTCTAGAATGTGGGGATGCCTCTGTCATGCCACTTATGCCAAATACCTATCTAGAAGACTAGGACTAGAAGTGAAAAATAATGCAAGATTGTTGATTTCTTGGTGAGTGGCTTTTCACATTTGACCATTCCCTTACATTGCTCCTAGGTTAGCCAAAAAAACTTTTGTTGGCCTCAAAGTCACTTACCCTGTTTTTGGATGAATAAGTTTAAGAGTACTAAAGAATTTCAGAATGATGGAATTTAAAATGATGAGATTTTAAAGTTCTAGAATTTGCAGAGTTTCTAGTTTGGGTAATCTAAAAGTATAGTGGGATTCATCTATGAAATATAAACCCTAAACCTCTCACTGTCTTGAAATTTTAGAAATGACACCTATTTAGATGGAATTTGAAGTTGGAGTTTATGACCTTCAAATTCCATTTTTTCCCACATAGAATTTCTAAATTGCTATGTTTATGAACCTAAACAAGGGAATTAGTACGTGTCAATTTAAAACTCTACCTTATGTACAAATTCTAAGTTTATTCCTCCATCCAAACACAAGGTTAGGTAATAAGTGCTAGGTGAGCTTGTTCAGTGCTATTATTTTTCAATTTAGTGAAGGAATGATGTACATAACCTCGTTCTTTTATTTTGTGGGAAAACCTTCTGAGAAATGTTGTGTTTCTTTTATTTTCGTTTCCCTTTTGTTCTGGGAAAATACTTTCTTTCTTTCAGCCAAAATGTGAGCTTGCTACTAGTTGAAGGAGTTCGAACTAGATAATCTGTTTCAAGAATTTATTGGAAAGTGTAATTAAGTCTTGGCTTTACCCAAATTTTTAGGCCAGTATAATTGGTTAGCATACCTATTACTTGTTTGTTTACTAACTCCTGATATGTGTATATACTGTCAACATTTCAGAGTTGTGAAGAAGCAAAAAATTCATTAAATTGTTGGTTTACTGGGAAATCTGATATGACTTGAATAACAGGGATGTTAGAAAAATTAGGACAAAAATGCACTTCAAACAGATGAATGTGTGTTCTGTGCATTTATTTCTTCTGTTGCACTAGAAATTCATAGTGAGCGATAATTCGCATACATATTAGATGAATGTAATTAACTGAAATGAATCATATAAATGTACACAACAATTATTATTTAATTAGCTTACTTGTCTCAGATACAAGTATATATCCTCAACAGCCTAGACTACTATTATAGATGTTCCTAAACTGCTTCTCTCATAGTTACACACTTACAATGCTCAAACTATGGCAGGCTAGATGTTTCCTGTCTGTGTCATTTCTGCGTTGTGCCCTCACAAGGGTAGTCTTGAGAATGTCCCAAGTAGAAACTCATCTGTTCACAACTGTTTTCCCAGCAAGACATTGGCCTTTCAATGAGTTTCCAATAGCTAATCCTCATCTATCTTTTGATTTCTACAAATATGAATTATCCTTCTTCCCTTATGGCTCCATTCTAAAGGAAATCCCACATCAATTTCTCTAACCTCCTAGCCATCATACTTCGAAATTGGAAATCTAAAAGTAGAAACGAAGAAGGTAGGAGGGCTGCTCAAGATAAACTGATTCCAGTCTGTATGTGTATGTAGTGGAGATATGCTTTAATAATCTTTATCGATCTTATCAGATTTGGGGAAATTAGGGTTAGGGTTACAAAAATTGGGAATTTGTGAAGTTAAGGTTTGAAAAAAATTAAGGGAAAGGTTAAATTTGATTGTTTGCTAGGGTTCACCAATTGAAGAATGAACAGGATAACACTAACTACCAGTTCTCCACTAAATGATTTCATAGGCATCACTCCTATGGATAGGTAGCATCACACTTGATTACGTTCGCATTCTTTGCTTCAGTGACATGCCTGCTCATTTGCTGATTTGTTGTTGGAATTTCATGATTCCATCATGTTCTGCACCATCTTGCATGTCCTAGACTATCCCTTAGATGTTTAGGTGCATACTATGGGGCTGAGAGGGGTTTGACCTGATATATATTTTGGTTGAAAATGGTTGTATTTGTTTTGGTTTTATTTAGTTACATTCTTTGAAGGGGAAAATTCACTTTAACACACGCTCATGGATTTTGTTACATTCCGTGGTTCAAAAAGTCACTTTACAGCCTATGATTTAATCTGGTATGGGTCGTTCAACATTTTCCATTGCAAATTAATGACAACTCATGCATTTTGTAGCAACTCTGATGTTTGAAGCTATAAATCTGTCGTTTTCTCCACCAGTCACCATATCATCAAAAGTTGATGTTTATAAACTTTTGGTTTGTTCTATTGAGGGAGATGCATGCGTTGTCAATCTTAATAGAATACATAATACATAAATCCGGGTAGAGGGGTGGGGAGGTAGGGATACTTTTAGTTTTTACATAACAGGGGGACAGTATGAAATAAAATAACATCCACAAGGTGGTAGAGTGACCTTTTCCTTTCTTTAGCGCATACATTTTTGTTCAACTGCTTGGAAATATATAAATATCATGTGTTTTCAATTTCTTTCAGTTGATAACTTGACATTCCATTTATTACTGTGGTAACTTTCAGGCTCCACTTTTGAAAAGATATCCTGCCAACTTGTCAGTCACAGCATATTCATACTTCTTCGGTGCTCTTTTGATGGTGGTGACCGCATTATTTATGACAAATGAGTCAACAGACTGGAGCTTGACACAGTCTGAGCTTTTTGCTGTTATTTACGCTGTAAGTTTCCAATTAATGATATATTTAGCTGAATCTGGTTTTATCCATGTGAAATTTTGTCAGCACTTTTAATCATAATTCCTCGTGTATACAAAGATAAGTTGAGTGACTATTTAAAACATGGGATTGTGCTTTGATGTGCTAGTGATTTTAAAGATGAGAGAGAGAGCATATGTTTTGATGACAATTCCATGCGGTATATTCAACAGATCATAGTGTGTGATTCTGTTAAACTTCTGGAAATGATCCTCATTCTCATCTCCTTGGGTATGTAAGGAATCTATAGACCGACGGAAAGCTGTATTCTTTTGGAATGGATTACTAATTTATAGAAAATATTTTGTGCTATTGGGGTTTAAAATAAACAGAAGCCTAACCTTCTTAGATGAACTAATCTGTCTAGGGTTCTAATGGCTGACAAACTAAATACTGTGTGGATCAAAAGGGTTTAAACTTAATATCTTAAAGAATATACACTATATAAAAGTCAACTTTTTTCTTTTGTGGCAATCGACTTTGAAGCTCTGCCAAATTTTTCAACCCATAAAGCAAACTAACTTTCATTATGATTTGGTTATTTTCTTAGTAAAAAGATGGAGGGGAAAGGGAGGAAAGGGAGATGACAAGGAGAAAGGTGAGGAAGAAATCATGGAGAATACATAAAACTAAAACTTAAAATAAACAATTATGTAAAGTTGTAAATTTGTCTTTACTTCATAAACCATTTACATATTTTCTGATCTCTCCCTCACTAGCATAACTCTTCTAAACTTTCCTTTTTCTTTCTCTATCTTTAACTAAAATAGCATAAACCAAAAACATTACAAAAGAGAGCCCAAGTTATTTCCAAATGCAAACAAAAAGTTGTAAAAGTAATCTGCTGACTTGTTTTTAATTTGGAGCTTCGAACATTTACCCCAATTTGAGGGTGCCAGTAAATTGTCTGTGTGTTTGTGGGTTGGGTGATAATTTTGGATTATTACACTGGAACCCCAAAAAAAAAGGCTTCAGACCCTCTTTCTACCCCCACAAGACCCTTTTTTCATCTTCATGATGATTGAGTAACTCAAATTCAGCATCAGTTAGCTCAACCAGAGAGAGGCCCCCATACTAGTTATGCTGCATTACTCCACCCTAAGTTTCATTTCAGTGAAAACTGACACAACAAGCCATGTAAATTACAGAAGATAATCAGCAACCTAACCACTCATTGACTCTGATTATGCGAGTGTGTTTTTGATTGATCACTCATTAACTCTGATTGCATATTAGGCCTCATATAACTGATGACAGCTCTATGGCATGTCTATTGGCTCTTTGATGCTCCTTATAATATCTTCTGCTTTGCAAGTTAAATAGCCTGTAACTATTTTGCAATTATTGAATCATACAGTTGATAATATTGCTATTAACATTTCTTTTGAATTCTTTATGCTATTAAGAGTTCTAGCAGATCTTATGTGAAAGCGGGTTGAATTGTTAAAAGTTGTGAATATCACTCTTTGGTTTTCAGGGAACTGTTGCATCTGCCCTTAATTATGGACTGCTGACATGGAGCAATAAGATTTTGGGGCCTGCTTTGGTTGCTCTTTACAATCCACTTCAACCTGCAGCTTCGGCTTTTTTGTCAAGAATTTTCCTTGGAAGCCCTATTTATTTGGGAAGGTATGCTCTGGTCATACCCAATACTTGTGTGACAAAATCCCTTAGTTGGTTGGCCATAGATGTACTGTTATATATTTGCCGAGGCCGAGGCCGAGCTAGCATTTTGTTGGAGTGATGCTTATTTGGTCTTCTTTTTACATGTGACAACAGTGTTTTAGGGGGATTACTAATTATTGCTGGTCTTTATGCGGTGACTTGGGCGTCTTTGAGAGAAAGACAAGCAGCTCTGGATGTTATTCCTCACGTGGCTCGAGCCTCCGAACCTCTCATCCACCAAGATGCAACAATTAACAAGATACACCAGAGAGGACTTATTTTCTCAGGGCCTTCCAACTCGTTGCCAAAATCGTCAGATTGAGAAAACATTTGATTGGTTGTGCTGTAAAGTTTCTTAATTCCGGAATTTCGACAGTAAACCCGTTGAGATAAAAGATTGTGTCTTTTATTTTAATGCATTTGATATGATTTCTTGTTGAGGAGATGCAGTTTAGTGGATATCTTTTAGAACACAAGAATTTTACTTTTTTACTTTTTAAATTTGATTGAAGAACATTTATGTGATACATAATTCTTTTGAAAGAACAAAACCCATTAGAAGAATAAATATATATATATATATATATATTATGCGCAGTTGCCTCTGTCCATTCTGATTCAACTGTCAAATAGATTCCCTTGTCTTACCTCAATTTGGCTACTCATGGAAGTGGAGAGGTGTTCAAAACATATCCTTCTTTGTATTGTATGCATAAGGTAATCAATTGAAAAAGCAAGTAAAAGTTAAAGATTGTCATGCTAGTATAGTGCTCGTGCTTACGTGAGACTGAGGGTAAATCCTATGCGCGTGCTGTATCTGTAAGGTTATAATATATACCGAATATACTTGGGTAAATCCATTAAATGCGATTTGAACCATAAACGTCTACTGGACCAACTTGTCGAAGAAAGGCCATGCTTAAGCAATTTTCACCATCAACACAAAGATCAAAGCACTTAAGTTCAATGAATCTACTTGCAAAGAACGGATTGACATCAATTTCAACCATCCATTCACTAAGCGTGCATATTCAAAATCCAAGAAACCTATACATACTAGCAGGGCACAACTCTCAAAAGAGACAACTTTTCTCCCAGACTTCACACTCGATCAACAATTGATGTCGTTGAACTCCACTAATATCCTTTCAATTAAGATATCCAGTCGACAACTCATGAGTTATCTTTTAAGTTTATTGCTTTGCCGACACTTGGTATGATTCCTCCAAGTTGCTAGGCTAGCTGTTTTTCCCTTTATAAGTTTGTAAATTTAACAGTTTATCAACTATTTTCCTTTAAATTATTGTTGTACTGAACTGAATTGAGAAATTTTCAGTTATAAACAATGTTTTTTGATTGCATTTAAGTTTAAAAGCTATTCTTTTATCGTTTTATATCTGATTCATATCAAACAAGAAATCGCTAGAACTCTCTATTAGGAAAGCTAGCAAAATCTTGGGTTTTCTACCCCCATCTTGAAGCTTCTTTCCCAATCTTGGGCAAACCCACAAGAAAGTCGTTTACACCGTTACATAAAAGTAGAATATTGAAGTCCTTAATCATACAAGGCATTAAAAATAGCTAATCGAAGTCATTTCCCCACTTAGAGCTCAATGACTTGACTAGAAGTTAAGATTAGTTAAAAACCAGATAATAGATCAATCAATCCTTTTTCTATGGGCTTAGCCAAACAAAACTATTGGATCACCCTGAGACCTGTTGCTTGGGCTCTAAGCAAACTCTCTTTCCAGTTTGATCCGATAAAGAAAAGGACAGTACACTGTTTACAGAGTGTGCCTGACCCCACATCTCCTTATGGGGTGAACAGATGGGACTCTAAAATTTGATGGCAGTGGCATGCTTTGGAATCTACACATGCGTATGTGTAAAATGTGTGTCGCGCTAAAAGGGTTTGTGAGTGCATATTATATAAATATATTTCGATCATGGATGGATGCAGCATCCTCAACTTGCGTATAGGTATGATAGCCCAGATCTAGCTAGCTAGCTAGCTAACTCCTTTCATTTACGCGAAGGTATCCATTGTTTTGTGTACTTTCCCACTCTTCTAATAATCTCATCTCACTACGAATATGGGCACCGAAAGAAATTAAAAGAAAACACCAGTATCCAACTCAATCACTTTTAGCAGATTTCTTCCATTCTTTTTAACACCAGTCACAAGTGCTGTCGTCCTCATGTGATCATTAAGACAACCTCATGTGATCATAATCAACTTAGTTCGCAAACTATCAAAAATCATTTCCATTTTGACTTACTCGTCTATTATTACCTCAGATTTATAATTTATAGCAATTAATATCGACACGTGTACGCTCGCAATTAATATAATTTTTGGGTATATTCTCGAGGGTGGACAAATTTGAGTAAAACATATTTTGACACGCCCGAATGTAACTGTTGTATGTGTTAAATCAGGGGATAGCTGTTGGTTGAGCATAATATCGCATCATCCTCGATTGATTCGTGATCATATCCCCTTATATTGTTTTTATTGGGGCAGGCTGAATGATCTTTCATTTTCTTATAAAAGGCAGTTGAAAAAATAGTTTTGGGTACTGTTGGTGGGGACGCACAAAAATGACCAGGCAGCAAAATTTGGTAATAAAATTACGTAGGTAGCACGCGAAGCTGAATTAATATAATGAATCTGCAGAAACACCATATATATCATAATAAACAATTATCACCTAACTGACCTGACCAGACCAAAATTGAAAGGAAGAAAGAATTATGACAATCCACACGGACCATCCATGATCCATCCAACTACTTTACATCGGTCGATCCTTCTGTCTTACAATGCGAGCAAATAATATTCCCTTGCCTCATCATCATCATCTGATAATTAAATTTACCCCAAAAGCTGGCTGGACAATATTAACGATTAATATAATCTGTTCAAAGATAACGAAAAGTATATGTATGTGAGGGTTAATAAGGCCGGAATCTGTTGGTTTGGCCGGGAGAAACATTTACATGAAACGATAATAATATTATTTTGTTATTTTTCACCAATCATGATATGTCAACTTTTTCATATAACAAACTGTGATTAATCGGTATAACAAAACAATATTATCCTTGTTTTATACGAGTTTTTCTACTCGAACGGAAGTGGGTCATCTCATCTCCACCAAAGTTAACATTAAAAGAAAGTGATCTTCCCACACCACTCAACTGATTATTCCCAGTACGACACACATCCCATCCCTTCATATAATATTATTATATGATAATGACACAAACAAACACTTACCTCCACTCCACCCCACGCGTGTGTGCTGTGGACTACTTACTTTTATATGTGACAATTAATTAATTCAACCATCATTTTCTGTGTTTATTTTATTCATGTGTATGTAGTGCCTGCCTATATCTTTCTTTACTAATCATCAGTAACTAGTTCTTGTAGTGGTACTAGTCCTTTCACATTTGGTTAACATATCTTTCCAAATTTTAGATCCAAATATCAGCATTAAGTTAATATGAAAACGAGGCTTCATACATATGCAGTGGAACATTCTGATATATATATATATATATATATATAATATTGGCTCATTGATGTGCTCATCCCTATTATTAAGAGAACCTTCATTCCCTGTTATAAGTAATTGGGTTCTGAATACTGTTTTAAGGACACTGCTTTCGTCTTTCTTTGTAAGGAGGTATTTTTATTTCCTGTAAATCACAATTTAACATATATGTAAAAATAATGTATTAAAAACATTATAAATAAAAAAAATTATACGCACATATCAAACTGTGATTTGCAAAAGAAATAGTAACATCAACTTCTGAGATTAATTGATGATTATAGGTCATGCACAGCGCCCTTTTTCACTTTGGGAAATGAAGGAATGGAAAAAAAAAAATTGTAATTTTGGTAGGAAGTTGGAGGAACTAGAATCATTCTTCTTCTTTTTTCTTTTCTTTTTCGGCGTGTGTGTGTTCAGAAGCTAGAGTCATTCTTACAAATATAGAGAGGGAGCACTAAGACTGAGCAGATAATGCAATGAGTTGGCGGGACCGCCACGAGTCTTCCACCAAATGATTTGAACGATGTCGTAGGGATCGCATTCGCATGTGTGACCATTGTGCAAGCTTTTTCGACTGGCAAAAAAAACATTATACAAGCAACGCCAAAACAATCCCCACCCATTACTGACTGGGATTGCAGGCCACGTGTAGATTCCTGAACTGCATTGCTAAAGCTCGCGAGATGAAAATTGTTCGGAAACTCGGCCAATCATTTTATGAACGTTCTGTACATTTCGCATTCCTCTCTCTTTTTTTATGCTCTTTTTTTTTTCCAAAGGTAGGAAGGGAATGAGAAATTTACACACACAAATATAATGAGGACTTAAATTCAAGACTATTTAAAAGCACGCAAAAGACTATTTAAATTCAAGACTCTGTCAATGATTTGTCCTTTCATTTTTAGTAAAGTAAATTCATAAGTTAAAGGTAGTATGATAAATAATACCTCCCACAACTTCTCAAATACACCACTTTTTTATACCTCTATTAATATATGCAATAACTTTCTTATACAAATAATATTTTATTTTAGTTTAATCTAAGACTATATGAAGGGGAATTTGAACTCGGCTGCAAAGTGAGGAGCATATTTGCTCTAACCAACTTGGCTAAGCCCATATATGTTATAACTCTAATAATTCAATTACTATAAGCATCACATATTTTGAGAAAATGGAACGTTTCTTGTGATTACTATATCACATTATAACTATTTATGTAATTTTTTATATAAAAAAATTGAAAATAGGTAAATTTCATTAACTGAAAGCATTGGTGACAATGAGGTCATCAATAATACAATTCATTAGTTACTATGGGCCTTCTTCTAACTAATAATTACAACCTTGTTCGTGTAAAGCAAAACGGGTAGAAACATGAGTCATTGTGTTACAATCCCTAGGTGGATATTGGACTTCCTTTAAAGAAAAATGCATAAGCAAATCTTTCACATCATCCACAATATTTTCCACAACAACCCAAATAGTCTCCCCCAAATTAATCATCATGATTGCCTCATAAGAATCATTTTCTGTAAGGAGAGAGAGAAAATAAGCATTTGCATATAAAGCGCATGCAATTATGTAGCTAAAATGAAAACACTGCAATTGCTTTGTATAGATATGTTCACCCATAAATATTCCATTATCGTCTCAAACCACTAGTCAAACTTGTAGCATTGTCAATAGCTCCATCACCATTGAGCTTATGCAAGCCTTCATGCGAACGTCTCCGAGTCTCATACGAAATCACCTTATCAACACGTGATTGTTCTTGAAATTCATTAAATAGATCAGAAAAATCCCTCACAAAGAAAATGGGTAGGATTATGCACATCTTCACCATAAAAGCTCTAAACTATTCATGTAACCTATAAACATTACACATTATGCCAATACGGTTTAGCCCAATTAAAAAAAGGCCTTAACTTGCAAAGTAGTGGTCTCAGGTTTGAACCTCTAGGACATTATAATAGTGTGTGTGAGTGAGAAACCCCTCATATGTAGTTTAGACTATTGTTTGTACTAAAAAAAACATGACACATTATAGCTTAATTATTACCTAGTTAGTTATTTGGGAAAATGAGATATATACTTCAACGATATTTAAGATAATTTTATAAATTATTTACCCCAAAAAAGGTTAGTATAAATTTTTTCTATCTAGATATCTATACTATTATTAAGAGAACCCTCTTTGATAACCACATATGATAAATGACCATTTTGTCCTTTTTCCTATTAAATGAGTTTAATAAGAGTTTTAATAATTGAGGGTGCTATAGTAATTCTAACTTAGCCACTTTCTATCTTCTTCTATCTTCCACATTTATCTTTTTTGTAACTTTTCCCACAAATAACTTCTTTTTGCACATGCATAGTATGTGGGGAATTTATTCTTATATGAAATTACTTAAAAGCACAAGTTAAATTCAATCAGGTGTCCATGTAAGCAAAGAAGGAGTTGACCAAGCGCCACTCCAAAAATAAGTGCTTAACTTGATAGTTTGAATGAGCAAAAGAAAACTTGATAAATTGAATGAATGAAGGAGGGGTAAATGGTGTAACAATTTGTTATTTTAAGTGTGATTTTTTCCAAGAAACTGCAGTTTAATTTATATAGCGTACCTGTCTATATAGATTTTATTAGGACCTTTCTTATTGAGAGGGGCAATAGAATACCTAACTCACACACATTACACGGATGCTAGGATTCGAACTCAGGACCTTGCCTGAATGAGTAAATACTCCAAACTACTACATTAGTGGGTCCTTTACGCGTACGTATATTTTAAAGAAAAGAAGAGAGCATCAATGATATATATAGATAGAAATAATGGAATTAGTAGGGAAGTAAGTAATGAATAAATATATCAAAAGGCAAGAGCAGACGCCAGTGGAATAAAAACTCCATATCTCATGGTCATATCGACATACATTTTTATAATGAAATTTTAAATGGATACTCATACACAAGTTGGGAGAGAAAGAGAATGCACTAAAGTATGATGCGCGCGCCACCCAGCGTCCAGTAGCCAAAGACTTCCGAGTCCCAGAAACGAAAAAGAGTAGGCTCCACTCCACCACGCAGGACCCATTTACTCTTATCTCTCTCAGACCAGTCTCAGTGCTCTGCCATTAGAATTTATTTATTTATTATTATTATTTTTATGGACACAAATTGGAATATGATTGATGGGTTCTTCCTTTAATCATTCTTTTCTGTTATTCAGCTCAAGTTTAAAATCGAGTAACCAGCAAAACGAAAGTGCATGAGAGAGAGAGAGAGAGAGAGAGAGAGAGAAGACTTTGTTTCGCATCCAACTTTTAAAATGAATATTAGTGATATATTAATACATATGCAATCATAAAATACAAAAGTCATATCGAATTTCGGCGATACGAATGTTGAAAACTACAGTCCAAAATCAATTACTACATATTTAAAGGAAGGGAATATAAGAATCAGTCGGCTTTACAAGGAAAAGCACACCATTACTTTCACTTTTAGTTTACTTAAAAATTCTTTAGGGCTGCAGTTCAATTCACCATAGCTTTCTCTCGTAATCCCATAACTCATCTTTTTTCCTCTCCCAGCTTTTACTTTTGAACTTATTCTTGCTCTTAGCTAGAGAAAAAGTAAATTCCATCATCAGTAGACTGTAGAGGCATGGATTTCTTCTTATGCTCTATCAATGAGAATGTACGCTGAAATATCAGTGAATCGCATGCCATACCATCCGCAGCTCTCAAATCAAAAGAAGAAAATGCAAAATGTAATCGTCGATCGTCATTCCTCACTTTTCCTTTAATCCCAACAAATAGAAACCAAAATAAGTACTATAGAACAACTAAGCGAGAATTGAAAGGTCATTATTCCTATTCCTTCTGAAAAGTTAAAATATTTTTATTTTATTTTATTGAATTTGTAAGAGTTGGAAGTCTTTTCTAGACATAGTATCGTTTATGATTGTGATGTTTTTTTTCTTCTTCACTGATACATGCGATATTAGAGAATGAAAATTGAACACAAGTTATTAACCGACTCATATTTCAAATGATTGTAGGTATTTTCAACATAACCCACAAACCTTTTGGCTTTGAAATTAAATGATTGTTAAGAAAGAGTATAGCATATTAGCATATATCTCATCTTTCCCAATTGTCATAAGAGCATCTACAATCATGCTCTCTATTTTTAAATTAAAATTTAGCTAAAAACACACAAAAGTTGTTTTCGGAGCTCTCTATAAAATTTTAACTTCAATCATACTATCTAATTTAGGGAGTCCTAAATGCTAGAATTATATTTTAATTCAATATAAATGGTCAATCTCTATGAAAAAATAATATAAAAATAGACAATATTGATTAAAGGTTTTAAAATATTCATTAAATAAGGTAGCATTAAATTATAGAGAGCCACTAGGAGTTCATTCTCTCTCCTCGGATTTAGGAGCTCCTAGAGGTCTCCCTATTTTATGAGTTGGATAGGGAGCATGGTTGGAGGTGGGTTTTCTTACTTCCTCCCTAAATTTTATCTAAGGAGATGGTTTAGGGAGTTCATTGTAAATGCTCTAAAGTGGTGTTAAGTGTTCTATGCATTGGGGGAGCCAATCAAGGTCCACAAGGGTCACTTGACCCTTCTCAACATTTTGAAAACTTTATATTTATCTATGTTATCCAATTTGTTTTATAGCTATATTTATTGTTGACCCTTCTCGCAAATGTACATTGTCTACAATAAACATGAATATGATCTATATTTATTTGCACGTCTTCATATGTCAATAATATGCGTGTGCCATGAATTTTATTTGATTTTCTCATTCTATCTAAAATCAACTTTTGATACTCTTTCATTATTTTTAGGTTGCTAGAATTTGGGTTATACTTACTAAGATATTTTGTAATATTGAAATTTAATCATTATAATGAATTCTTAAATTTATTTTCGTATAAAAACTAAGTTTAATGTAATTATAAACCTATTTAAAGTTGACCTTCCTTGATAGAATTCCTGGCTCCGCTATTGGTTTTCTGTAGGTTATAAATTATCATATGTGTATAATTTTTTTCTTAATCTACGTCCCTTAATATTAATCAAGAAAAGACAGAAAAGATTCCGGTAAAGGGAGACTATATCTTATCTAGCGAGGACGATATTAGTATAAAGATTATAAGGGTTAATAGTTACTGTTAGAATATAAGTATGATAAAAGGTGGGATCCCACCATCACCACATGGAATGGAGGCTAAGGCTAGGCCTACATCACCATCACCATCACCATAGGAATGCACACAGAGAAGTCAGGAGAGGATATCCTCGACTCGATCGATTATATATATGTATCTCCATCCATATATAATTGGCTATATAATTATGTGCTCCTAGGTCACTTCACTTTGGGTTGGGACGCCAAGTTAAATTAAGCCAACTCAAGTACTTCTCCCAACCTCACTAACGCGCGCAACCAAAAAATCCAAAAAGGGAGCGAGATTTTATTTTGTTTTCTTTCAGATTTGCCATGTCTCTCAGCAGCATAGTGCCAAAACCTGCAGAATATGGCGGCAGTGACAGTGCTACTGTGGAAGGCACGCCGGAGATGTCTGAAACCCATAGCAAGGCTGTGGTTGCCTACCCGGCTGCCGCCGCCCAAGTTAACTCACAATCTTTCCTACAACTCACCATGTACCCCATAACTTTGAAGGTCGCTCTCTCTCTCTCTCTCTCTCTCTCTCTCTCTCTGTAGATCTGATCATCATGCTCTCTGGTTGAGCTATAATTCATTGTAGTTGTAGCGAGCTTAATAATTAATTAATTAATTTATTTAATTTCTGATCATGAACATGATGATCTATAATTTAATTAATTAGTAAATGAAATGATCATCTAGTAGAATTATGCATGTGCGTGCAATATATATAGTAGAATTAATTATGAACATAAATTTGATAAATTGCAGTTTGAGGAGGTGTTTTACAAAGTAAAAATGGAGCAGAAAGGAGGAGGAGGAGTGTCGTGGTGGGGCACAAATACTAGTAGTAGAGAAAAAAGTATACTGAGTGGGATAACAGGTACGGTCTGCCCAGGAGAGATACTTGCGATGCTAGGCCCATCTGGGAGTGGGAAAACCACCCTTCTTACGGCTCTGGGAGGGCGCCTCAATCATCAGAATAATTGCAAGTTTATGTCAGGAAAGATCACGTACAATGGTCAGCCATTTTGCGGAAGCATCAAACGAAGAACCGGGTTTGTTGCCCAGGACGACGTCTTATACCCGCATCTCACTGTAACCGAGACTCTGGTGTTCACGGCTCTGCTGAGGCTGCCGAAGAGCCTGAGCAGGGATGAGAAAGTGCAGCACGTGGAGCACGTGATCAGTGAGTTGGGATTGAGTGGGTGCCGGAGCAGCATGATTGGGGGCCCACTGTTTAGAGGGATATCAGGTGGAGAGAAGAAAAGGGTGAGTATAGGTCAAGAGATGCTAATCAACCCAAGCTTACTTTTGCTAGATGAGCCCACCTCAGGCTTGGACTCCACTACAGCTCAGCGAATCCTGACCATACTCAAAAGGCTGGCCAGTGGGGGTCGAACCCTCGTCACCACCATTCATCAGCCCTCCAGCCGCATCTACCACATGTTTGATAAGCTCGTCTTGCTTTCCGAGGGCTCCCCCATTTATTATGGCCCTGCTTCCGCAGCCCTAGATTATTTTTCTTCCATTGGTTTTTCCACGTCCTTGCCTAGTCTCAATCCGGCAGATCTTTTGCTAGATCTTGCAAACGGTACGTACGTTACTGTTACGTCTGTCTTTAAGTAAACATACATACATACATACGCCCCTGATTGTTTGAATTACTCTCGTACGTACAGGAATCGCCCCTGATTCAAAACATGCATCTGAGCAACGCGAGAACATGGAACAGGATCAGAAGACCGTGAGAAAAGCTCTCATTTCCGCCTACGAAAAGAATATTTGCGCAAAGTTGAAAGCTGAGCTGTGTGCTGGTTTGGAGGTCAACAGCTACAATAATTACATGAAAGATGCTTCTGCAAGTAAACATATCCTCTCTCTCTCTCTCTCTCTCTCATATTTTCCTTCCTTATTCCCTCTAATTAATTGCTAGATCTTGCAAATGCTAATACTAGTGGTGTAGTGCAGGACAAGGTACAGAGCAACATTGGTGCACAAGCTGGTGGCAGCAGTTCAAGGTGCTGCTTCAGAGGGGGCTGAGGGAGCGAAGGTATGAAGCATTCAACAGGCTAAGAATTTTCCAAGTAATAAGTGTGGCCACGCTTGGTGGACTCCTTTGGTGGCGCACACCCACGTCTCACATTGAAGACCGTGTAAGAAAAGAAAAGAATTAATTAATATGTATTATTTATTTAATTTAGTTTTAACAATAATAAAATGAATTAATAAAATTGATATTTGGTAAATTTGCAGATTGCTTTGCTCTTCTTCTTCTCCGTGTTCTGGGGGTTCTACCCACTTTACAATGCAGTTTTCACATTTCCCCAGGAAAGAAGAATGCTGATAAAAGAGCGGTCATCAGGAATGTACAAGCTTTCGTCCTACTTCCTAGCAAGAACAGTTGGAGACCTGCCACTGGAGCTGGCACTCCCAACAGCATTTGTGGTAATAATTTATTGGATGGGAGGGCTTAAACCTGATCCCTTCACTTTCATCCTCTCCCTACTGGTGGTTCTTTACAACGTCCTTGTGTCCCAGAGTCTTGGCTTAGCCATTGGAGCCATTCTGATGGACATAAAGCAAGCCACTACTTTGGCATCTGTTACAACACTTGTTTTCCTCATCGCCGGCGGCTACTATATTCAACAGATTCCTGCCTTCATTATCTGGTTAAAGTACTTGAGCTATAGCTACTACTGTTACAAGCTTCTTCTTGGGGTTCAGTACGACGAGGATGATTATTATGAGTGCTCCAAAGGAGTCCTCTGCCGTGTTGGAGATTTGCCTGCCATCAAATCAATGGGTGGCCTCAACCACTTGTGGATAGATGTCTCCATTCTAGCCTTAATGCTACTGGGTTACCGCCTTCTTGCTTATCTTGCACTCCATCGAGTGCGCTTGAGGTAACTCATGAATTCACTTCCTTCATCATATCATCATCGATCATATCGTTCCTTCCTTCCTTCCTTCCTTCCTTCCTTTCTTTTGGATGCATATCGTACTTCGTTCATGTCCACGTCTTTGTCCTCCTCCTCCTCCTCTGCTAATTATAATCAAGCTAGCTACTTACAGCAGCACATCAGTCTCGATCCATCTGAAGAGTTTTCTCCTTTTCTTCAACCGATCGATCATCGATGAAAAGTCATTACAGTCGATCGGGGGTTTAGTTAAATTACTTAGCTGGAAAATCATCATGTGGTGAAAATTATGAGCCAACCTTGATATGTATATATCCTTCTGAGTTCGTCCTGATCAGTTGGATATACAATATTATTGTACCAGAGCTTTAGATCGATATTCCTAACTTGAAGTTTCTAATTTTAGAATACATTGACTATATGCTGCTCGTATCCTGTACGGTATACATGTATACATTATGATAAAAGGAAAGAACATAAATATGCTCTCCAATATTTCAATCAACTATATGAAACCGTTTAATCATTTTCATTACTTTTGTATTCGTCCATTTAGTTAATTATTTTCTTGACAAAGTGTTTGGCAACACAAATATTTGTATTGCAAAACTATGCATACGAGTCGTTTTTTAATTAAACTTTTATTAGTGTTTATTTTGTATGAACGATTTTATCCTTAAATTTAATGGCAAAATTGACTTTCACGATATGACCAATTTGATACTAAATGGAGAGTTGGGTGGACCAAAATGAGACTGAAGAAAAATTTGGGGCACCATTTCGGTCAATAACCCATATTTTTTATTATTATTTTCAATACCCATATAAATTGTAGTTTCTTCTTACCCGTTTGTTTTTGACAAAATTTTGTTGATATATTCTTTAGTTCCTATTCTATATAACGAGTATTGCAAATCTGTCTCCTTCTATATGGTTTATTACATCATCTAATGTTGAAATTGATGTCAGCTTATGAGATAATATAAAATCGATGGTTAACGTTATACCTGATGCCTCTGTGCGCAAGGCAACGAATGAGATTAATGCATGTAATTTTTTTGAATTTTTTTTCTTCACGATCTTACGTATGGGTGTTGTTTATTGGTTTATTTTGGGGTAGGAAAACACATTTTGGAACTGATTATATTATAGGATTATAAGTTTTTAACAGCTTTCCATCGAAATTTTCTATTCTTAATAGGTTTGTACATAAGATATTTCTTTAGAACGTATGTACATTGAGTCCACCATGTTTTCAAATCATGCAAAGGATAGGAGTCCTTTGTTCCAGTATGCCTTCAAATTCGTTTGAAATAAACAAAACAGTAAAAGAAGAGGCCCACACTACAAGAAATTTTTGTATGTGCCAGTTCCAGGAACACTAGACGGGTGTGAATCCAGAGAAGATAACTGAAATTGGGTGGAGGAGCAGCATGCAAAAGAATGATTGCATCCAGAAACGAATGTCATTTCATTTCCTACTTTGGCGTAGTGGAAAATCCACGCCATAAATTATCGCCTGAAGCAGTAGAGAAGGACAGGAATTCATGTACTATCTTGTCTCTTGATAGGCTGTAGACTTGTGGTTTTCGTTGGAGTATAAAGAAAGTGGTAGCCTTTTCGTTTTTTTTTAGGGTGTTAAATAGAATGTACTACCTTAGCTAAGGTTTCTCCCTCCCATCCCCGACACTTTTATTTTGGATAACCTTATCTCTGAAGTTTATTGAGAAATTTAGTTATATACTCACACATGTGCCAATTGGTTTTTTTATTTTTTTTTCCTTTTATTTTTAGAATTAAGAAAAGATAATATGGGTAGTTATGTTCTATAAAAGTATGACCTATTATCTGATTTTGTTTTTTTTTATTTTTTTTTATTTTAAAAAAAATGTGAATTTACCATATTATCCTTATGTAATTAATAATTTTAATTCTTAATGTTTGAATTAACTAAAGTCATTTTATGATATTTTGAATGTTTCACCATTCTTTGCCTTTTGCTTTATATATATATAGATTATGAGTATTAGTATTATAAATTAGCACTATACCATTTAATTTGTATAAACAAACAAAAAAAACCTCTACTAATGTCCTATTTTTGAGTTTGAGTTTACTTAATATACTAATTTTCGGTTTTACCTTTTTGTTTTGAGTGTTTTGGGTTTTTTTTTGGGTGAGGTTTTGAGGCTGTGCTTGTTTTAAGAAAACTTATGATAGTTTTGTAAATTATAGAAAGTTCAAAGCCTCTTTGTTATATTGTAAATGAGGCTTGTGTGTGTTTCTAAAGTCCATTTCATGTAGAAAACACACCTAAGCCCCATTTACAAAATAACAAAGAGACTTTGAACTTCCTATAATTTACAAAATTGTCATCGGTTTTCTTAAAACAAGTACAACCTCGAAGTGTTTTTATAATTTGGGCTTTATATTAGTGAAACTCCCAAAGTTGTTATTTTGTTTCACTTAACTCCCTGAACTTTATTTGACCCAAAAAAACCTCAAACTCTATTAATGAAGATTGGAATTTGAATTTAAAAACCCAAGTTGTCTTAGTGCAAAATTTAGAAGCCCAGATAATGGGCCAGCCGAGCGGTAAAGCCCAATATGCCGAATCCACCTGAGGCAGAACGGAGAATGGGCCAAGTCGTAAAGCCCACTATTCCAATTTCCACAGAGCGTGCACGGAGTACCACAAGTACCTACCCTACCGAGTAGCCCTGGTTTGTTTCAGAAGGGAAGAAGACCACATTCTATTGAAAAATACGAACAATAATAAAAGAAGAAGAAGAAGAAGAAGAAGAAGAAGAAGAAGAAGAAAAGAAACGAACATGGAAGGTGAAGAAGAGGGAGGAGGGATAAGGCTGAGCAAGAGATTTTCGGACAAAGGAGGAGGGGAGGTTGATTACAAGACCAAGTCAGGTACGGCCTGGAGCCACTCCTACCTCAACCAGAAGCCATGGCACCCTCTCTCTTACCCCAACCAACGCCGCAAGTGGATCGCAGAGCAGATCCAGGCCCAGCACCAGCGTCGCACCGAGGAGGTCTCCCGCGAGGCACGTCCCCACCGCCCCCTCTCCCTTCGCATCCCTTCATCTCAATTTTCATGCTTTCCCTTCATCACAATTTTTTTTTGTCTGTTGGTAATTTCAGTTCTCTCTCTTTCTTATCATTTGCGCAGTATGCCCAAGAGCAGGAATTCTTTCGCCAGGCCGCTCTCGTCTCCAAGAAAGACAAGGAAAAGGTGCTAAACTTATTCTTCTTCTTCTTCTTCTGCTTTTTTTTTATCGAAAACATTTGATTATTCTCTTTATTTATTCCATTTACTACTTATTATTCCAACTCCGAAAGGACCCGTTCCCATTGCTTGAGTCAATGTGTAGATTGAGATGATGAAAGCTGTTAGCTTTATGTATGTTCGTCCACCTGGTTACAACGCCGAGAGTGCCAAAGCTGCAGAGATTGCTGATGAGAGTGTAAGAGAGCACCATAATAACCCCTCCTTTGAAGACCCACAAACACAAACGCAAACAGATGCCCCTTCCACTTCAAGGTACAATGCATTTTATTATTTTCTTCCTTATTGTATGATATGTTTTCATTACATGTTTGGACTAATTTTCTCTTGCTAATTAGGCCACGGCCACCAGAGTGTATGCCTCCTAGTGGCGAAGAAGCCAAAAAACCAAGACCCAAAGACGTGTTTGGCCGTCCTTTACCAACGGAACAAGAATTTGAAATTTTGAAAAATGCTCCAAGGTGTGCCTGTTGCTGCCTTTACAGTAAGATGCAATGTTTTTATGTTACTTTATAGTTTCCCGATTGAAATACATTAAGATGCTGAGAAGAAAAGGGGCTTAGTTATGACAATGATCTTTCACGGACTTTGGGTTGCATTGATAACTTGGCAATGCTTTTAGGAAATTAGATTATAAGATTCTTAGATTTGGTTTTATCTCAGTGTAGGCATTTTCAGAATTTGGCTCAGTTTCTTGTGATCCATCAACTTCTTCATAACCCAAACTTTAACTGAATACCCCGGAGTCCTTGCTGGACTGTTTAAAAGTATAAAGTTGATGGGTTGTGATTCTAGAAATGCATACAAGAAGCTGTTACATCACTCGAGTCAGAATCAACAAAATTTGTTATGCAACTCTTTCAAGTCAAGCATATCTATGACTAATATATTGACTTATGCATTTTATTATTAAAAGGAGTTGAGATCTCGAACTGAGATTTCTCTTTCCTCACAGATGCAGTTGTCTGTCTCTGTACCATGGTTGGTTTCTCTTAGTGTCTATTTCTATTGAAAGTGACCAAGGCTCACAGTTGGTGCATGTAAGGGTACCTTTGAGCCTGGAAGACATGCTTTATTATTTGCAATTGTTGCCCACAGTTACATTACAATTTCTACAGTCAAGTTGATACTACTCTATTGTTTTGATGATGATAATAATAATAATAATTTTTCTAAAGGATGGAGACTGGTGTCCCTACGAGGGCAAAGCCATTTGGAGTTGAAGTGCGCAATGTGAAGTGCGTAAGGTGTGGAGCATTTGGTCACCAAAGTGGTGATCGTGAATGTCCGTTGAAGGATGCTATAATGCCTAATGAGGAGAGCCGATTGAAAAGGGATGACCCTTTGACTGCTATTCTTGCCCACACAGATCCTAGTGAGGTTAGTCTTTTTGTTTTTATCTTGAAACCTAACAGGGGGGAATTTTAATACCCCTTGCTCACAAATTTTTTCCTATCTCTGTCAAATTGGTGAGTGCTTGAGGTGACGCCTTGCATGGCTAGGCTGGCATAAGGCTCAAAGCATTTGGCTTGGATCTTTGAAGATTTTTTTTGTTTTGTTTTTTGTTGTTGAAAGAAGTGTACGTTATATTTCCTATCCAATAAAAATAAGTGTGGATTTCTATTACCATCAAAATTTGTTTAGATCCCTTTGGAAAAGTAGAGATTTAAGCTCATTAAGGTTACTCTCTGAAGTTTGCCTTCTAATTCTATAAACTTGTTTTTTACTATCTTAGCATCGCTGGCTAAGAGTTTGGGAAATTGGAATAGGGTTTTCTTTGAACAGGGATGGTAGATTACATTTTATGAACTGGGAGAAAAGGATATGTTTGTTGTCACTTTTGTCTAGGGTTTAGGGTTGTTTGGTAAATAAAACGTCTAGCTTAAGTTATCTAAAAAGGGAAAAAGTCTTTATCAAATTTGTTGTCCCCATTATCGGGTTAGCGTAGCCATAAGGAGGGTTCAGTTGTTTAATAATGCTTATAGGAGAAAAATGGCTGTACAATGTAAGTAGGGGGAAGGATGGTTTATGGAATAGAATTATGGTTCATTTGGAGTATAGACAGGGAAGGCCTATTGTTCTACTTTTGCAAATGAGAGTGTTATTTAGTCTATGGGAGAACATAAAAACAATTGGGAGGATGATTGTTACATGTGGTTTAGTTGGAAGCTTGAGGTAAGAAACTGTGGTTTTGGTCATAGCATTCAAACTACTGCCGCTGGAAAAGTAAGGAATAAAAGGGGAAAGACTGTCGATAAACAGGTTATGGTTTTGATCACTACTAATTAGTACTGAAAAACAAAGGAAGTAAAATTTCTAGGATTCCCATGTAGAATCTTATACTCTTATAGGTTGGGATTGTATCTCAGAAACCTCAAAGAACACCTCATAACTTCAAAGAATAGGCGTAATACTAACCTAAGAGAATTTGGTTTTCAATGTGTCATTTCATTTACTAATATTTAAGTTGTTGCAGACTGCAAGTACTGTTCTCTTAATATTAGGAGAGATCAGTGTGTACCAAGTATAATAATTTTCTTGAAGGAAGAATTTTCTTTTTGCTTGTGGTTCTTGTTATTTCATTGTTCATCCAGAAATATTTTGGTACATGATCGAGCTCATCTTTAAGTTCTTTGCATCTATAATTTGTGTAGCGGAAGAATTAGTTGGTGTTACTTACGGATTTGGAGCAAGTTTATGAATTGGGGATATGGTCACCTGGTTTGGGCCAGTCATTTAATTCAGATTGTGACAGTTCATTATTCTTTCCATGAACAGAATGCAGTTTACTATGGCTGGAGAAATGGAAGCATGGTAGACCATTGTCAGGATGTTAGACAACAATTGTAGAATATAAATATAACTTAAGTAAATTTCTAAGTTAGTGACTCTTAATTTTCACAATTATAACCTCCTTCCATCCATCATTGTTAAAGGCAAAATGCCTTATTTCCTTGATGGAGGCACATCTACAGAAATTTCAACCATATATTGGTTGTATATTGCCAAAATTCTATCCAACTTCTCAACTTACCTGTAGTATTTTTTTCTTGCTCATCCAGATGTAAGAGAAACTAATGAAGTTGTGTAGAAAAAGCCTTCCAACAAAATTATGGCTTGTAAATGAATAAATTGTAAAGTAGCTGTGAATCTGTGACAGGAAAGGTAGTATATATATATATATATATATATATGTTCTAGACAGTAGTGGAACACTTTCTTCTCGCCTACAGTTATGAAGTGGATTGGTTAATGTAACCGATCAGTTGTTTGTGTGTGTGTGTATTTCTGGTTTGTTTCTTTTCCCAGCTTGTTACTTTGCTTCTTGGTCTGTTTCGATTGTTCCATCCTTTGATCTCTACATATGGTTGAGCCATATTTATATCTTCTGTTTTGCTCTCAAAAGGTTGGCTCTAACATCAACTTTTGTGTATTAGTATATAAATAGATTAATTAACTTGTCTATTTGTTTGTTATAATCTCAAAATTAAGCTTACGTACGATAATGAAGGATTCTCCTGTTTGCTCTGTTTGAAACGCTTCTACTATACATATAGTGCCCTACATCCCTGGAAACTGAGTAGTGCATATATTATGATGATGAAAAAAAAAAAAAAAAAAAAAAAAAAAAAAAAAAAAAAAAAAAAAAACAAACTATATATATATATATATATTATATCTTGCTTATTTTGCAGCCTCTAAAGTGGGAGCTCAAGCAAAAACCAGGAATTAGTCCTCCACGTGGAGGGTTTAAACCAGATGACCCCAACCAACAAATAGTTGCTGAGGACATATTTGACGAGTATGGAGGTATTTAGTTTTCAATTCCAGAATGTGCATGATGATTTCTTTCTTGTATCTTTGTATTGCATGTGAGGTAACTACCACCAACATCATTCATTTTTCAGGCTTCCTCAGTGGGGATGTCATCCCTGAGCTACTGACCAACTTCCCAAGCCAACCCAGGGACAAGTCCAAAAAGAAGACCAAGCACAAAAAAAAGCAGTCATCACCAATAAGTGGGGAAGACGGGTTGTCATCTTCTAATGAGGATGATAAGAAGTCAAAGAAGAAAATATGCAAGGTAAATAAAAAGAAGCATGGTCATTCTGAATCGAGTCCATCAGAGATTTTGGAATTTGATAGACATAAAGTAAAGAGTAGAGACAAGCATTCTTATTCATTTGAGAATTCAAATAATGAAAAACATCAGAGAAGTACAAAGAAAAGACACAAGCATTCTCGTTCATATGAAGATTCCGAGATTTGTAGGCATTGCAAAAGGGACAACAGCAGTGACAGGTGTACTAATTCATCTGAAGATTCTGAACCTGACAACCACCATAGAGATGTCCAGCGCAGACGCAAGCATTCTTTTACAGTTGAGGATTCGTATCATGAAAAACATCATAGAAGTAGAAAGGTCAGACAGAAGCATTCTCATTCATATGAAGATTCCAAAATTGATAGGCATTGGAGAAGGGACAGGAGCAGAGAGAGCTTGAATAATTCATCTGAAGATTCTGAGCCTGATAGGCACCTTAGAAGTATCAAGAGCAGACGCCGGTATTCTTATTCATCTGAAGATTCTGGCACGAACAGGCAAAACAGAAATAAAAAGAGCAGGGATAGGCACTCCTACTCGTATGTTAAAACCGAAAATGAGAAACATCATAGAAGTAGAAACAGCAGACACAAACACTCGTGTATCTGAAGATTCAGTTCTGAGGGGGATGGTAGAAAGGGGGATGGCACAAGTGGGCACCCTATTGTAGTCAACGTCGCCACTATCAAGTTATCAACCTCACTGTTAATCAGAATTAGATTTTATTGTAAAAAGAACTGGCTTAGCAAGTGTTGTGGTGGAAATGAGATCTCTACTAATTGTAATGACGAGAAGGAAGCGAGTCAACTGACATCGCCGATTATCTGTCTCGTGTTCTTGTTGTGGCTTAGCGAGTGTGTTGTTTTATTTTTGGTATTCGAAATAAGAAAAAACATGTATGTAATCAGGCAGCTGCTTTTCTTCTGTATGGAAATATGTATGTTATTCACTCCCAGAAAGAAACCAAAAAATAAAAAATAAATAAAGATTAAATTAAAGAGTGTTTTTTATTTTTATTTTTATATTAATGTGGCCAATTCCAACAGCAGCACCAGCAGCCCGGTCCAGCCAAATTAATTGAAAGGCTTTTTATCACAAATGGTCCATTAGGTTTACAAAATTATCGCATTTCGTCCCTAACGTATTTTTGTGATACTAATGGTCTCTAAGGTTACCCTTCACACATTAAAATGGTCATTGTCGTTAGTTTCCTTCAAATTTTATGTTAAGCAGCTGACGTGGCACGTGTGGGGCCTACACATCCAATAGTATACGTCCACATGGCTTTAAATAAAATATTTTATATTTAAATATTTTAAAACTTAAAATCCAAAAAAAAACAAAACAAAAAAAAACCATGTACTATCTGCATTCTCCCTCTACCAGCGCCTCCAACCCTCGCAGACCCACTCTTTGCCTCTCTCTCCCTCCTCTTCCTCCCTCCTCTCTCCCTCGTCTTCCTTGGTTGTGGGTTTCATTGATTTGCATGTTTTGGTCAAACAAAAAAGGACCCTAGTATACTGCAACTATGCCAAGCCCGCTGCAGAGACAGGTTCTGGGTAAAAATGAGTGCAGAAATTCAACAAAAATGATTAGCTTCTTTTTTTTGGATTTTACGTTTTAAAATATTTAAAATATAATATATTTTATTTAAAGTCATGTGGATGTATACTATTGGATGTGTAGACTCCACACACGTGCTATGTCAGCTACATAACAGAAAATTTGATGGAAATTAACGGCAAGGACCATTTTAATGTGTGGAGAGTAACTTTAGAGATTATTGGTGTCCAAAAAAACGTTAGGGACGAAATGTGATAATTTTACAAACTTAAAGAACCATTTGTGATAAAAAGCTTAATTGAAATAACAAATCCAAATTACAATACAACGAAGATCGATTCCGAGGCGGTAGAAAGGAAAATAAAAAAGGCGTGGTGCGAGAGAGAAAGAGTACTCCCGTCGCGTCGCATCCAGCAATAGGGTTTGATAGATGGCGGGTGCTAGGGCAAGTAGATCAGTAATGGCGGCGGCTGCGGCTGCCGCTATGCCGGAGTCGAAAGTAATTGCGGCGAAAGTGAAGACAAAGACTTGTTGTTCAGAGTTGTGCAAGTTCCTTGGCATCCCTGAACGCACTCGCTCTCCCACCGCACTCTTAATTTCCAGGTTCATTAGTCTCTACAACCATCAGGTATATTAATTAATTTAATTTATGCTCTCAAATTCTCTATCATTATTCATTTTCATTTGACAGACAGAACTACTACAATTTATTTGATTTGATTGATGCAAGCAATGCCCCCATTTCATTTCATTTCACTTGCATTGCAATTTGCATTTCACCGCTAGTACTAGTCTAAATCTATGGTTCTTGTTGTTGTTGTTGTTGTTGTTGGATAATCAAATCATCAATCACCGCCTCAGATCATTGATTCATGTTGAATTGTTAGCTATTCCATGTTTGCAGAGTCCCGGTATCAAGGACCGTACTTGGGAGGAGAACTTGAAGACCTTATTGCATGGGAAAAACAGAGTTGGACTCGCTGAAATCACCAGATTGCTCTCCCCAGAATTCACCTATTCTCGTATCAAAAGCACCAACGCACTCACTGCCGCACCCACTGCCATCGCTGACCAGAAACAGCACGATCTCAATAAATCCAAGAAAACCAAAGGGAAGACCTTGAAGAACAAGTAGCAAAAACTATAGATTTACATTTTCTGTTTCAAATTTAATCTTTGAGAACCCGTAATTGTTCTATTTCGATTACCATCTGTTTATGCATATTAGAATTACTTTGCGTCATTGGACTGTCTTCCAATTAAATGAAGTGATTAAAATTTGAATTTTGAAGAACAAGAGGAGGGGAAATGATTCCGTGGATCTCCACTGAATGACCAACTATACTATAGACTTCGGATATGAGTAGGTAATACATGTCAGTTGTTTGGTGTACCTGATTATGTTAAACGGATTGGGGTTTTTTGGTTGTTGGGAAAGATGTGTTATTAATACATGGTAGTTGTTTGGTATACACCCGGTTTAGATAATACATACTTAATTATAAGGTTAGGGAGAAAAAAACCGTTTTGAACTTCAACCTGTCTAAGTTCGAATGAAAAATACTTCTTAGCACAAAAATTAGCGTAACCAGAAATTTGGTGTTTGTATTTTGGTTCAGAATTCCGTAGTTTCAATTTTCTTATTTTGTTAACGTGCATCAGTTCTAGACTTGATAAACACGTCGTATCCAACGCAATTGCTTTCTTAATGGGTCGGTTTCATATAAATCTGGAGATGATTGCATGATGCTTTTCAATTTAGGGATCTTTATGTGTTTTACGTTGAAATATACAAAAAGAAGCCCATTTTGTTCATATAAATGAATTGATGGGAAATCACTCCCCATATATTTTCTTAGGGGAAGGGAAATTGAAAATTCATTTTCCATGTTGGGTAAGATTAGGAAAATAAATAAGAAATACATTGACGAGGAGCCACGGAGAGAAGAAATATAAGTATAGACTATAGAGGCAAAGTAGCCTTAAGGTTTCAATGAGTTCTAGTTAGAACTTAGAATACAATCCTATTACTAGATAGAAATCAAAAAAAGAAATGAATCAGATGAAATCAAAAAAAGAAATGAATCCAAACATAGAAATCCTGCATTTTATGTTCTATTACCAGATTGTTTCATTTTTCTACATTTCGATAATTTTTTTTTCAAATAGTCTGAAGTGCCCTTTCTAACATGGTATCATTTTATTTATTTCTCATATTTAATTTGTGAGGGAATTTGAAACAATTTTTTTTTAATTATATCCGTAAATTAGAAATATACAATAAAAATATATAATTAATGTTTGTTTTGATCCCTATTTTTAATTGTAAATATGGACAAATTTGTTACTGTGGCTAGGAAAAATGAAACTCAAATGACTGGAGGATTTCATTTTCTATGACAAAAAAACCTTTTCCTATGCCATGACTTACCAAAGATGAAAAATAAAATAATTTTCCATTTTCCAAAAACCTCTGTTCCTCCTCCTTTCACCCTCCTATCGCATCCGACGCTCCTAATCTCAGCAATCGAAAACGTTGGTACTCTGAATTTTGAAGCTTTGGTGGGTAAGGAAGTTGGTTTAATTCCACGAGCAGGAGCTGGGGCCTGTGAAGATATTTGATGATGCGTAGAGAATCAGACAGAGCCCACTTGTGGTGACCACAAATTCTCCGTTAGAATTAGCCAGTGCTTGGTCCTGCAGTCTACGGCCACCGACATGACTATATCAGAGGATGAGGACGAGATTTTGGCTCATTTCCTTGAATCGGAGGTGCTCTCCGAGGTTTCAGACCAGGTTTATCTTATTCGTTATTCTTCTCATCTTCGATTCTGTTTCTGTTTGATCTATTTTTGTGCCTAAACAATTCTCTTAATATATCGCTTTCATCCATTTCAAAACTTTATCTTTCCTGTGGCTTTTGAACACATTCAACTTGCGGAATTAGGGTTTGTTTTTCTTGAATTTGCTCTTTGGTTGTTTGTTTTATAATCATATTTTATAGATAGCGGAGGAGAAGAATATCGTACATTGGGTAGGACTAAATAAATGATGTTGTTGGTTTTTTGACTGCATGGTAGGAGGAGGAGGATAAAATGAAAAATGAGTCCAAAGCAAAGAGAATGCGAGTAGTAGAGGATAAGACTGAGGAAGACCCTAAATTTCACAAAAACCCAGAAGACAGAGGAGCCTCGTCCTCATCTGCTTCAAGGATTGAGACTGGCATTTTCGGCAAAATCCCTCCTGAACTCTTCCCTCACATCCTCAAGTTCCTCTCTTCCGAGGATCTTATTGCTTGTTCTCTCGTCTGTAGATTTCTAAATTATGCCGCATCGGATGAATCCTTATGGCGTCGCTTGTAAGTAACTCTTTTAAGTCCTTGTATAATTATTTATTGATTTTTCAATCTTTCTAAGCTTCTTGCTTTTCCTTTGTTATCTTGCCAAAAGTTCTCTATGAAATCAATCAATCAATTTTTCTATCTATCAAAATAGGATAAATGGCTGATCTGTAAAATCTTTTGGCTCCACCTGTTCGCATTTTTAAGAGTTTTACATAATTGTTATTTAACAAATTCCTTCTTAGTATAGATATGTTGATTCTTTAATGACTGATGCACTGAGTTTATTTACTTCATTTTCATGAGAGTAGTGTGCTTGTACGGCTATTTGCAGGTATTGTATGCGATGGGGTCTTTTACCTCCTACTAGAAAGTTACGTGAATGTCCTTGGAAAAAACTTTATATTCAGGTACTTTATCTTTTTCATTCATCATTTTGAAGTGTTGTGGTAGTTGCTGAAATCATCATGGAAATTTACAATAGAACCTACTTTCAACTCGAAATACAGAATTTTCCATATTGTGTGAGTTTACATGAAACCTGGAGCCGCTTGCAGCAAGCAACCTAGATAGATGATATTAGCCTATAAGAAATTCTCTCTCTTTTGCAGCGTGATGAGGAGGACATGGTGGAACTTGTTAGGAATTGCTCACTTGAGTTCAAGGAATACTATATCCAAATGCAAGCTGCCAAAAGAAGCCAAGCACCTCTTCCTTCACAGGTTGGGGGCTTCCTTTGTCTTGAAATATTTCTCTATACGTTTATGGTGATCTTTTTGTGTGAGATTATGAGAAGAGCCTGCTGTAATGCTCATTACTCCATGTAGTATACTTCTATGCTTCTTGAAACCTTATGCATAATTGTTTTCTTGTGTTAACTTGAGATCCTTCCCGTGAGTAGTCGTTGGGTCTTAAAACCTTGTGCATAATGCTTTTCTCTTGGGTTAACTTTGAGATGCTTCATGTGAGACTTACTTTGTCAGTAGTTTTCTAGTGCTGAAAATCTTTCATTCAGCCTTTTATTAACTTATCCTTCAGTTGCTTGTTTGTGTTTTCTTTCTACTTATCTCTCTCTCTCTCTCTCTGTTTATATACAATAGCAATACTTCTGCGCTATATATACAATAGGTTTTCAAAACAGTATTATGTGCAGCAATGTGAATTTTAATGCTCTGGATGTGCTTATTATGAGATCCCTGTTAACTATTTGGTTGTTTGTTGTTTGCATGTGAAGGTGAATGACGATGGGATAATTCTTGACAGGACAGTAGCTGATCAAGTGTCTATGTGGAAAAGTAGTAAAGGCCTGACTGATAAGGTTGTAGCTGATCATGCTTGTTCTGGTGAAATCTGTACTTACTACCAAATTGGAGATGTATTTGTTTGTGAGAAGACTGGGCAGGTTCATGGTTTGTATCAATGATCTTCATGAACTTTGTGTATTCATGCATGTATCTAGTAATTTTATGCAGTACTCAGGTCTCATCCAATTATTTGTTATGATTTTTTCTTCAGTATGTGATGATAACTGCAGAGAAGTTGTTATGGATCCAACCAATGAGCTTTGGGTCTGTACAATATCTGGGCACTGTTTTGATAGGCTACTATCACCAGCAGAAATGGAACCAGATTCTGTGAGTGAAAATCTCCTCTACCTTGCAATTTGTAGTCATAATATTACAATTTTTCAAATTGCCACTCATTCTTCCTCATGAGATATTGTGAGGTTTATAGAAATAGGTAAGAACGTATTTAATTATGGGAAGAAATTCTATTCTTTTATATATTATGCTTGCCATTGTTCTATAGTTGCATGGCATCTCGTCAATCAAAATAGATGCAAATATTTTGTGTTTTGAGTTCAGACTTTCCTGTCAGAACTTGCGAGATGCTCAGTGAAAGAATAGCCTATACTTGGTTGAAAACCACTTATATTCATGCAATAGGTGATCTTGGCTATATCATGCCTAGGTGATTTTGGCTATATGTGGTTGACAATCATCATGCCTTTGGCTGTATCATTTTCTCATTTCTTGTAATATTGTCAAACGCCACTAGGTGATTTTGTTAGTTGTTACCCATGTGGGAAAGTGTTTGTCTCATTTGCTTTATATAGTTGCTAATGCCTTTTCATTTCATTCAAATAAAATTCAGGAACTGCAACAAGGGGGTGTGACAGATGAGGCAGAACCATTCATGGGATCTGGTCGCTTTGGTAATTAAGTTGCCTTTTTGGTTTTTTGAGAAGTGTAATGTTAGTTATCCAAGGGTTTTTCTTCTTTTTGTGTGTACACACCTTATTTTGCCGTTTTTGACGTTGTGGCAGCAAGAGCTTATCTGTTGGGATACAATTGTGCTGATGAAAAAGAGCTAGAGGATGCTTTGAGGTTTTGTTGAAGAAATATAAGGTCCCATCCATCTAGGTGGATGCCTTTTATGCGGCATATGCAGAAGTTGCAGCAAATCTTAAATCTTTACTTTTTGAATTATTTAGTCAAGAGATTATCCAATATAGATTAATCTTCAATGTTGTGCATTAGGTTAAACAAGTGTAGTTATCAGTACAGTAGTGCTATTGTATTGTCCTGGGCCGTGCTGGTGTAACTTGAATCAGTATACATATGATATGTGTTCGTGTTCCTATGCTTTTCTTCTTTGTATTCATATTTCCATGGACGGGTCCAAGAATTATCTATGACTATGGGCATCATCCAATTCCTTTTAAAAATGAAAAATAAAAGAGGATGGATGTATGAATCTGATGCGCCGCTGATCAATCTACTTACCTGCCATGCCAACTTCCCCCTCTCCTTCTGCTTCCCTCTCTATCATAAACCGAGTGAGACAAAAGATTATTTACAAAAATGGAAAAACAGAGAAAAAGGGTAGAGGAAAGGGGTGGCCGCCGTCACTTATTAAACCCTAAACCCAAGAGAAAACACAAAAATATTAAACCCAATCACCAACTTTTTCTTTGTGCTAGCAGCTAGTCTCTAATCTCAGAGGAACAAAGTTAAAAAATAGAAAAGAAAGTTGACCAGTAGACTACAACTTTACTAAGCATGTTGATTTCTGGTGAGAGGTGCATTTGACCCAAGAATCAAATAAAGAAAAGCATAATCAGCAAATAAACGAGAACGCATTTTACACAAGTTCAAGGAATTTGTTCAGTCTTGCTTATCAATTGCATAAGTGCATTTGCCTTCCTCTGAGCTCTGTTGGTTCCACTCCTTGTGATCTCAACCAAATGCTCATACACTCCAAACTGAAGTGCGGCCAGTAAGAAGGATGAATTGTTTGACCCCAACTCCAGAAGAACTGATGTTGCACATTCCTTGTTCTTGGGAGTTCCTTCTCGGATAAATTCAACAAGAGTCTCAATGAATGAGAGCTGTCCAATCTCTTGCCGTCCATCTGGATGTGATGCAAGAAGTAAGAAGATGGAGAGGGCTTCATCGACCATGCCCAAGTTTCTGTCCTTGAGTATCTGGAGTAGAGGTGGTACGATGCCAGCATTAATGGCCCTCGACCTATTTTCTTGGTTCAAAGATAAGTTGAACAGTGCTGTGGCAGCATCTTTTTTACCTCTAATCGTCCCATTCTGCATTAAATCGACTAACGGTGGAATGCCATCTGATGACCCCACAGTTTCTTTGTTTTCATCCAGCATTGATAAGCTAAATAAAGCTGCTGCAGAATTCTCTCTAGCTTCCGTGCTTCCCTTCTGCAGGACTTCTATAATAGCTGGAATCGCTTCTTCTCTGGTTATCAGTTTCTTGTTTGTTTCATCAATCGATAAATTCAAAAGAGCCGTCACTGCATGCTGTTGAATTTTAGAATCTGGATAGGAAAGAAGTTGCACCAGTGGTGGGATTCCTCCACTTTTGGCAACCAAAATTCTGTTCTCAGGATTCTCTTTTGAGATTAAACGAATCTTCATCACCGCCTTCCTCTGCACTTCTAATTGACTGGAAGATAGCCGTTCAACCAATGATGAGATCTCCTCTTTGTGTTCGGTGGAGGAGCTTTCCTGGCCTGCGGAAGTTTCTTTCTTTGGGAGCTGGAAATTGTTCTTCTCACACCACTGCATGATTAGATTTTTGAGAGCATAATTTGGTGCAAGTGACAAGTGAGCCAGAGTTTCCCTGGTCTTAGGACATGTTCTATGATTGGTGTCAAACCACTTTTGTATGCTTTCTCTGTCATATGTCTTCAGTAAATAACCAAACCAGGAAAAAGAAAGAAAAACAAAATGAGTAATTAGTTTCCGTTTCGTTATGCTCCAACACATAAGTTAGTAGAAGGAAGAAGAGCCCAAAAATCTCTGCTATATATACATATATATTTTTTTAAGACTTGACTATAGTATCACAAAATGAACTCAACTCAAAACGATGGTTTCTAATCCCTGTGATGCGAAATTCTTTATTAATCTACCACATATTTCATGTTTGGCTAGTGTTAAAAGAGTTTGATCCAATTTGCACATGTAAACTCACCTGTCCACTTGCAACAATAACAGGATCCGTCATTATTTCTAGCGTGATTGGGCAGAGGAACTCATGAGGGATCATCAAAGATGGGCACTTCTCAAGCATTTTAGGCATAACAGGGTCGTCAATAACATTGGTTGCTTCCATTCCAGCGATTTGTCTGAATCTGTTAAAAAGATCAATGATTTGCTGAGTAGTCTCTCCACTTGGCCCTCCTCTTTCTTTAACAAGGTTCCTTATAGCTATTGCTTCTCTGTTAAGGTCCTCAATTTTATGGAGGTCTAGCTTTTGCGCCAACCTCTCTATAATGGCACTATCAGCATTTCTATCTTCTTTTTTGGACAAAACCACCATAATATCCATTGCAAGTTCTATGTCCTGTGTATCTGTTCGCTTCCTTGCTCGTCGAAGTTGCATGATCATGAGTTCAATCTGAACCGAAGCAAAAACTTATATCAGATAGAAACTACAATTCCATTCAGAAATTACCAAGCTCCTAATGGCCCCAAAACAGAAAGAAAGCAAAAGAGAAGAAATGTGAGAAATAAGCATTTAAGAACAAGTTTTTGATACGCAAAATCTCTATTAAACGCGCGCAGTGAAGAAAGAATAGTTTGAATTGAATAAGATCTATCTTTATGTATTCAAGTGCTAGCAGGGGATTTATGCTTTTTAATTTGTGATTTCAAAGTTAAGCCAACAAGACCATTGGAATATTCTTACATGCCGGAGCAAGATCTTACCACTCTAGTCTAGATGCACAATGAAACAACACATGGAAGCATAAGCATGAGCTAGCCAGAAAAAAAGAAGAAGACATATATACCTGTTCCTTAACTTCATCTGAGATGCAAAGTTCATCAGGCAAACCATCTAAAGCCTGACTGAGTTTTTCATGAACTGCATGAAATCTAACCATGATTCCTTCACTTTCAAGCGCCTAAATTACCAGAACAAAGACAAAACAAATAAGTCCTACAATCCAATTCACATTTCAGAAAGAAATAACTTAATTCGAAAAATTAACTTTCATTTTCAAACAGAAAAACCTTACCAGATAAATTTTGCTCCCCTCATTACAAGTCTTCAACAATTTCTTGGCCATAAGAAGCACCTTCTTCAAATTAGCCAACCAAGCAACCCCCCTCTCCGGAATTGGCCCACCCAGCTCTCTCGTCTCTTCGAAAAGCGGCAACAAGAGCTTCATACGCCGCACCAGGTTATAGCATTCTTTCCTCTGCGTACTTCGGTAATCCCCGAATTGAGCAACCAATTCTATCACACCCTCGGAAGTTTCCTCTCCTCCTCCTCCACCTCCGCCTCCACCTCCGCAACCTCCACCTTCACCTTCGTCTCTGATCTCTCCATCCATCACCATGGGCCTCCACCTTTATACATATACGTATATAACCGAAAACAAAAACACACACACACACACAAAAGAAAAACGAAAAGCCTAGTTTCTAATTATATTCGTTGGTTTCATGACGAGTAAATTAACTAGCTAGGGCTTATGCAAGTTTCATTCGCGGCCTGAATAGGGGGCCAGGTCGAGGGAAAAAGAAATGTGAAGGAAACCCTAACCTTAATTTCCATGGATTCTTTCTAGGCGGTGTGTGTTCTTGGTGCCTGCCAGAAGCTTTTCGCGGGCTTTTCGGGTCCGTCGCCCTTTAAATTGGAAATACTTGCAGCTTAAAATAGACTGGCATTTGAAAGTTAGTTAATTTCTAACTAACTTACTTTTGGGCTTTCCGGTAAATTGCAATTGCCTAAACTCAAGACATTGCAACAGCGTGCACCAATATGGAACACACACAGAAAAAGGGATACTTGGTAATATTATATAAAACTATATCCTCTTAGCAGATGTTGGTTTAAATCAGTTAGCTAGGATAATATGTCCCCTCCTTTACATTCATATTTGATTTCACATTCTTATATATAAATTAGTTTGGAACAATTTAGAATGGTTGCTGATTTTCCAATTTTCTCTTTGTCTACTTACACTTCTCTTAGAAATTCTGATTTTCATTAGGCAAGCCATTTAAAGCCTGACACTCCTCTTAAAATTCTCCTTACCCCTCTTAACTTTTTGTCTCTTTTTCAAATAGGCACAGATAACACCGGTGATTCACCATTTCGTACATTTAAATATGAATAAGTTTTGCAAAGAACCCACTTGTGTAGTGGTTCGTAGCAATTGCCCCCTAAACAAGGTTTTATGTTCGAGTCCTAACATATATGTAGTATGCGTGAGTTTAGTATATTATCGTATTTTTTAATTTAAAAAAATCCTTAAAAAAAAATATGAATAAGTTTTTTTGACAAGATGATAAGTTCAGACTTATCAAACATGTGAAATGAAATGATAGTCATTTTTTTTCCGTGAACAAAACGCCTCCTTAAAGTACCGTCCCAGCCCCAACCCAGCCCAATCCCCTACCTTCCACTGGGCCACTACCAAGTGTTGGCCACAAAAAATCAAAGAGCAATACGAGTAACGAGGATCTTGGGAAAAAAAAAACGAGTAACGAGGATATTTTTTTGTCACCAGTAACAGTAATTGGTTAAAAACAGAAAGAAGAAAGTAAAGAAGAGGAAATACTATGTCAGAGATCAAAGCCGGACAAAATCTTGACCATGCTCACTCACACATGCATGCTATTTCATTTCGATTGATTCGGAATTTCGGATCAAATTGAAATGCATGCACAACTGCCACGTACGTATCTAGCAGACAGTCAATTAGTTTTCTTCTACCATTGTCAATAAAGGGAATTAATTATATTGATTTTAACTATCAAATTCGTTGTTTAAATTGCCTTTCCCATTTGTTTAAAGGTCTGTCTGTGCGTTCTTGAAGGGAAGCGGTCAGTGAGGTCAGGTCCCATTCACCGACAAATA